CAGGATCGGAAAAACATAGAAACAGAAAAAATATAGGAATATGATTGGAATGCATATGAAAAACAGAGGAATGAAAAACAGAGGAATTTTGTTAGAAGGGGTGTTTGGTTTTGTACAGGAAAAATATAGGAAACCAAGGCCTCTACGGTGCTGATTCCATAGGATGGTTTTCCTTCCCCCATTTCTTCCTATGAACCCAAGGTCTCTATGGTGCTGATTCCATAGGATTACTGATTTCTACATTTTTTCTTTGGAAATCCTATGAACCAAAGGGGCCCTAAATTTGGCATCATCATTTAATTTTGAAGTTCCAATACCTGTGCATTGTGCTTATGTAATCCATATATGTAACCTATTGTTTACTGCTTGAATTTCGTAGTATGTAATCCATATCAGTACCTGTATGTTGTGCTTATATAATCCATATCGATATAAAACCTGTGTTACTTGTTATGAACTAATCTCTTGGGTTTTTAATTAAAGTCCTCTTCCACTATCTGTAAGCTAATGTTTACTGCTTGAATTTCATAGGAAGCTATGGAAACTATGCGAGCAGAACCTGTTGCTGATGGGCATGAACCAATGACAAGTGCTGATGTTGTTCCCACGGTCCTTTGCTTCTTCCATGGCCAGGTCCACTCCCAGGTCAGCGGCAATACCCTTTTTTTGAAGAATGCTGATACCCCGACAAGCTCCACCAGAACAGAGACATCGGCGGAGAGAATACTTCAGGAACAGTTTGTTGCTGAACAGGAAAGTTCTGCTAACCTTGTCGATCAAGTGAATGAACTGAAGAGGAATACATAAAAGACTAAAAGAGAGTTTGAGGAGTTCAAGATACAGCAACAGGAGGAGTACAATAAGCTACATGAGGATATCATGCACTTCAGCTCTTCTTTTGGTAACTCTCAGTCATCAACTCTGTTGGCTTGATGTAGTGAACATTTGTGGTTTGATGTGTGTACTCGTGTGCTGGTTTGATGTGGTGAAACTGTCAGCGGGTTGCTGCTGATGTGTAAATAGTAATTTATTGTATTTGATTATCATGCTAAAAAATTATGTAGACATCGTCGAATAATTATGTAGTCAATCTATGCAGCAGTGACGATCTTGAATTACTTTTATGATGAATTGATTGTTGGGCACGTAGTACAACCTAGGCAGGCCATGTGATCAAATAAAAATATGACATGTGGATAACCAGTGCATGACACGTGAAATAGCCATGGCACGACACGTGGGCTAATAAAAATCCGACATGTGGAAAGAAGCCGTCAAGCCACGTGGATGAATCAAAAAATGAAACGTGGACGGACAGCACCGTGACACGTGGTCGAATACAAAACGGCCACGTGGACCAATAAAAATACGACACATGGTCCAATGAAGAAATGACACGTGACCCAACCGCAACACGACACGTGTGCCAATAGAAAATAGACATGTGGAACAATAGGGGCCTGACACATGGTCCATTAAGAACCTAAAATGTGCAAGAACCAGAGATGGCCACGTTATCCAATAGCAAGGTGACACATACCCGAACCATCCCAATGCAACCGGCTATAGCAGGTACACATGGAAAGCATCTCCAACGGAAGCAACCGCCAGCGTGGATGTCCTCTGCCACGCATGCCAAAATAGTTCTATAACGTTCTATTTTTGCCATACATCTATCCACATCTATGACGAATTTCTAGAATCATCATAGAAGTTAAGGAATGACGCGACTTCTATGACGAACCGGTTTTCGTCATAAAATTGAAATTATGACGAATTTGGCTCCTTCAGTGATGAAAGTTGATTGTCATAGTGGATATTCCTGGTAGTGGAGCTTGTTATATAGATAGAAATCCTGCTTAGGTTTTGATAACTAGAATAGAGGCCAAGTAGCTTTTAGAAGCCTAATTCAACCCCCCTCTTAGGCGTCTTGTCCCTTCACATCTATCCAAACACCAATTAACCCCTAAGCCAAACCAAAGCTAGAATGCCTTAATTCTTATTCCGTTCTAGTACTCGTAGAGAAGTTCTGCGCCACGAAACTTCGGTGTTTGAGTGTGGAAGTTCCGTACTTACCATGTTGACCGTTTGAAAGGGGGAGGGACATAAATACCCCTTCTATTTCTTATCCAACATTCATCTTCTGCATTAACTCACTCACTAGCCCGAGAACAACTCTCACACACACACCCCCATTGAAGGCTCCCCAATCTTTTCCTTTGATTCTTGGTGAAATTTCTTGAGAGAGATTGGGATTAGGAGTGAGTTAGAGAGCTTGAAGCAAAGCGCTTGACTCCTAGATCGCTAGATGTCGCCCGGGAGCTCCCAACATTATGGTTGAGCACCGGGAGGTTTGTATCACCCTCTTGAAGCTAATGGAAAACCCTCAAAGCGTGATCTTTGGTGACTCACTTGAGAAGAGGATATGGTTGTGTAACACCACACGTCCAAAATCTGCTAATGGCCTAGCTTCTCAAGTGGAACATGCCTGCATACGCATAACACCTCTCTTACATTTTTATCATCGATTCGTTTAAAAGGGTTAACGCAGAGGTACGGTGTTAGATGTGTCGATGGTAGAAAGCGGTAGGTAGCCATTGGCACACGCAGCAAGCTGAGAGAAATTGTGCGGAGCAGATCCGGAGCTCTCTCTGGATTTAGGAAGGGCATCGGACTGGATGGTCGTGACCGAGGATGTGCCAGTCAATTTGACCCTGCAATTGACAAGGAGAGAAAATTGATCAGTAATTTAAGGTGGAACATGCCGGTGTTTATCTAGATTGTTCCAAATATATGGCCAAGTGGCAAGTACGATAAAGCTATCGACTAGAGAGTCGATATCCAGCATGTTCATGATGTAATGTAGACAAAACAAGCATATCGGTAATTATTATTTACTCAACTGCATGAATCTAACTTAGCCGATGATCATGAAAACATGCAAAAGATGTAAGGGTAGACGTGTAAGCATACATGTGAGAGACATACTAGCTTTTAACCAGGATAAAACAAGTAAAAGCATATAAATAGCCAATACATCCTCAACAAAGCGGGCTATCGTCTAAAATAGCCGATTCTAGTGATCGTGTCGCACGGCATACGATCACTTATCCGTTGGATACAAATAAATCTACAAACCACTAGACTCAATCTATTGTACCGCCAATAGGCCAAGTCGTCTGATGCAGCATTGACAGTAGGACCCTAGATCAGAGACTAGCGGTCGATAGATCTACTTGTATCGCAAAGGAATCATGAAAGCATGTTATGCGCATGGAAGCTCAGACCATCGGCTAAATAGCCGATGGAGACATAGCGGGTGGCTGACGCCAAACTCTTCTTAATAGATAGATCTATTAACCAACAGTGTCCAATTTGACACGCTATCAATAGGTCGAGTCGGCTGATGCAACATTGATAGTGGAGTCATACCGGATACTGGCGATCAATGAATCTATCTCTTAATAGAATACGACTTTAAACACCTGCCATATGCGATCAAGACTGAGATAGATTGGTCATTAAAACAGGATCTAACGTCAAGAATTGAATTTAACTGTGATAGTAATCAGCAGACGATAAATCAAAATAGATAAGACCAATGAATCTCAATCTACATCAGGCAATCGGTGATATTGTATTAAATAGTAAACTATTTAACACAATACAGATAACTTTGATTAATACCAATGTTTACAAGAGATCAGTCGTCTGTTGCAGCCTTGTAAAAGTCGATACAAATTGATAACTAATCTATACCGCGATTTGTAAGAGATCAGTCGTCTGTTGTAGCCTTAGAAATAACGATATAGATCGATAACTAACTTATACCGCGACTCGCAAGAGATCCATCGTCTATTGCAGCCTTGCAAGTAACAATATAAATCGTGACGGATACTCACAAACAAGCCGAAGGTCAGGTCGTCCGATGCAGTCCTGCTTGCCCAAAGAACTCGTCGAAATCTACTCTACTGCTACTTATAAGGGGTGGCCTGAGCCGAAAAGTAAAGGTACTTGTTTTGGTTGATCGATGAGAGATGTTTATTACAATAGCCGGGGTTCAATATTTATACCCAAGGCTTGACTACGAGTCCTGATCCAATAAGACCGATCACAAAATTTGAAAAAGAAATAAGAACTTCCTAATTTAGGATAACTTGGACTCCAATCTTTTCTTTCTACAGAGTCGGACGCGCCTTCTCGCTTTATGTCTCGCTGCTTCTGCCGAATAGGGTCCATCCCCTTGGAATGATGACACCATCCTGATCTTGCTGGCAATTCCATTAGTCGACTTGTTTGAATATTTCGGCTTTCCTTGATAATTTCCTGTCCTTGGGAACTTTCCATCTCGAACCAAATTTTGGTGTCAACAAGATGCATGCGCATGGACACGTGTCATGAATCTACAGCAGATGCCCATAGTTGCTCCATGGGGATCACCCCCACTGAATTTTTTTTCATGTAATCAAGTATTCGAGTTTGATTGTATTTTTTTTTAAAAAAATCAGGAACAACTTCAGGGGGTAAATCGGACATTATTCTTAAAAAAACCGTAAGTATGCAAAATTACTCTGATGATTATGAAATATTTTACCCATCCATAGGAATGAGAGATGGTTGCACATGCGCAGGAGACGTCCACGTCAACCCCAACTACCTGCACGCTCTAGGCAAAACACGCTGCCCTTCTGTCGCCACTATAAAACGAAGGGCATATAGCTATGCTTCTGCTGGTCACATCTATCTCTGGTCAGCATCGCCAAATAACACCTCGCTGTGTGTGCGTCACCTTCGTGCACTACGTACGTTCCTGCAATTTCCCATCGCTCTCTCTTGCCACCAGTTCATGCTCATGCATGTGCGTACGTGCAAGATTGAAATGGTTGACCCGTGCTTATTGCATTGATCTTTGTGCGAGTGCGATCAAACACACGGAGGCGTGAGTCAGCGCGTGTTTCTTCCTGATGATGATCATCTAACTAGTTTATTGGTTGTTTGCGATGCATAACAGGATGCAAGGGGAGCAACAGCAGCGGATTGAGCTCGTCCTGCCGCCGGGCTTCCGCTTCTTCCCGACGGACGAGGAGCTCATCACCTGCTACCTCGCCAGGAAGGCCATGGACGACAGCTTCACCACGCCAGCCATCCGCGACGTGGACCTCTACAAGACAGAGCCATGGGACCTGCCATGTACGTGCGTTGCAGCATGCATATGCACGCCTGTTCATCATCGAGTGGAGCTGCTTGCTCATGTCGCTGATGTTCACATGCATGCAGGCGAGCAGCAGGCGGCGGCGGCCGGAGGAGACCTGCAGGAGGGCTACTTCTTCTGCACGAGGGGCAGCAAGTCCCCGTCCGGCGTTCGCGCCCGCCGCGCGACACAGCTGGGCTACTGGAAGTCCACGGGGAAGGACAAGCCCGTGCACAGCAGGTCCGGCCGCCTCGTCGTCGGGACGAGGAAGACGCTAGTGTTCTACCGCGGCAGGGCCCCGAGAGGGGAGAAGACCGACTGGGTCATGCACGAGTACGCCATTGGCGAGAGGAGGAGCAGCGCCGTCCTCAGAGGAACACAGGTACACGTATATACGTGCAATAGTCACATATGCCAGCATATATGCAGCCATATATGCTTCTGTAGTGTCTGATTAATTACATATGATGGGTGTGCTCCGTTTTGGTCACGTACTACGTATGTGCAGAGTGAGTGGGTCATTTGCAGGGTGTTCACGAGGAAGCAGCATCCGAAGATCAGCGACGACAGGAAGCTGGAAACGGAGGACGCTGTCGTGCATGACCACCCATCTCCTGGTTATCATCCCCTTGCCATGGATCAGGCAGACGACGGTTTTGACAGCGAGCAGGAGGCGGCGCCACCGGTGGTCGTCGCCGAAACCCAGCATACAGCAGGAAGCCACCTCGGTGCCCAACAAGCCATGGAGGGCGATCATCAGCAGCAGCACCGCCGTCAAATGGCCCATGAGGAGCTACTGACGATGCACCAACATGGTTCCAGTTGGCTCAGCCAGCATGACGACCAGCTGGGACTGGGAGCGCATTGCTCCGCGTTGCTGCCAATCATGCAGATGCAGTCCGGCGACGATGCAGATTATTATCTACCAGAGTTGCTGGACATCGGTGGTGAGGAGGACTGCCGTCGCCGTGCTGAGACTGAGTTCACCTGCGTTATTGGCTCCTCTAACGACCTCGACGGGCTCTACTGGGACAGTAGCTTCTGAAAGCATATTCCTTGGATAGATGTTGGCGACCTCGCCTGCATGTGTGTATATCCCTAGACAGATAGATCAAATTGTCAATGCGTGTATGTTTCAAAAAAAAAGAGTGATGCGTGTAAGCAACACTAGGGTTGGCACAAATACAGTAGCTTATGCTAGAAACGGTGCTTGTACATACCATGGGCTTCTGATCTACTGTACACCTTTTTGTGATATGTACATACATATATATACCTTGGGTCAGTCAGTACAATACTCTGCTCCCCGTGAGTTCATATCAAATCTTTTTTTTTAATTATATATATGCAGGCATAAGTGAGACAGAAATGGTTACTGCCTTACCGGTGACACCATCAGTGATAGGCAGGTCTGTTTAGTCCATATGCTCCCTTCATTTCTGATTCAATCAATTCCTAGACGACTGAGAATTTGTCTCAGTGATAAGCAGGCCATGTTCGTTTCGCTGAAATTTGTCTTATGCTGATTTGTCGTGAGAGAAAAATATTGTTCGTTCGTTGAAAAATACTGCTCAAGTAGTGCAGCAGAACAGGAGCAATTGGTTAGCAATCAGCACAGTGATCCATTTTTCTTCAAAGCCACCATGAATTGGTCAGCAATCAGCACACTCCAGGAAGCCACACCGGCGTTAACTCCTGGAGCAAGTTTGAAGCACTTCGAGAAGAGAGAAAAAAAAAAGTCAAGTTATAAAAGAATAAGAACTGGATTTAGCTACCAGGAATCTCGTCAGCAATCAGGATTGCATGAACCATTGTGTCATGGGGACGAGATACGATCCACGTCACATGCTGATATGGCATTGCATGACTCATTCCAATCTCACTAAGCTACGAGCTAGCTAGTGTATCGTGCAAGCAGCGTGTGGATCTCAACGACCATATGAGTAGTTAACATCTCCAATGATTGATGCCTAGTTGCTCCTAAACTGAAGTTAAAAGGACAGCTCTTATGTTGTTAAAGCACATTAATTTTCCATTAATGATTGGGCCGGGCATGTCAACTTTTACTTATGACCCAGGGCAACTGACGTCAGGTTGGACATGCCGCCCTGTGGCTATATACTACTAGTTAATTCTGGACGTGATGATATGCATGCAAGTGGCTACCTGCAACAACAAATAGACACTAGGGCCATGTTTAGATTGCAAATTTTTGCAATCTGGACATTGTAGCACGTTTTGTTTGTATTTGACAAACTTTGTCCGATCATGGACTAACTAGGCTCAAAAGATTCGTCTCGTGATTTATAACCAAACTGTACAATTAGTTACTTTTTTTACCTATATTTAATGCTCCATGCATACGTCCAAAAATTGATGTGATGAAGAGAGAGTGAAAAAATTTGGAACTTTGATGTCATCTAAACAAGGCCTAGGTCTTGACCTTAAATGAATCAAGTGGCTACCTGCAACAACAAATATCCTACTTTTTTATGTCTTGACCTTAAATGCAAGCGGCTACCTGCAACAACAAATATACTACTTTTTTTATGTCTTGACCTTAAATGAATCAAGTGGCACACTTTGTTATGAACCTAAGAAGATTAACCTGAGGAAACCAAGGTGTCAAAATGACTGAAATAGATTTGGTTCGCTTGATTCCATTTGAATATCCTAGAAAAAAGAATGGCATACATACTGTCCTGCGTTCAGTTTTAGTATAAAAGAGTACAATGGAAAAGGAGTGCTGTGCGATTACAGACCTAGTCCAAAGCATATAGTAGTAGTAATGCAAAACACACCAATTAATCAGTAACATGCATGCATGGCTAAGATGGTTGTAGAAAAAGGACAGGCGATCGATCAGGCACATTGATATCTTCTTCATGACATGCTGACCAATTGCGTTCGAACAAAAAAGACAACCATAGCATTCGAACGCTACATGACGAAGAAACAAAGCAAAAACAAGCATAGCATTGGAGCACTTCTTCTGTCAGCTTTTGCTTCTCCAAAAAGCTCAAAAAGCTAAAAGCTCTTCTAATCAGGATAGCTTCTTCAGAAAATAATTGTTTTTAGGCCTTCGGAAAGTAAACTTTTAAGTAGGTAAAAGCTTCAAAAGCTACATTTTGTACTACATACAGAAAAACTCCCTCAGAGAAGCTTCCCGAGCTTTTCTAAAACGCTTCTGCAGGTAGTGCTTCCGGAAAAGCTACAGCTCCCCCAAACAGAGCCAAAACCATATTTACGGCTTTGACCCACATTTCATTCGCCTATCATGTGGAGAAGGCGAAAAGCCCAGCGGTTAATTTAGGAAAATGATTCAGCGATGTACTTAGATGTGCTTAATCTCCTGTTGCTGACAGTGTGTAGGAATAATTTAGGAGAACGATGAGGACTAATCTTCATGTCGACGTTGCTTGAAGAGTCACGCCTTAAGGTTATTGGACCAAATGCCAGGATTCAACATTCCAGTTAGGTCAGATTGATTGCGCCTGACAACAGTACAGTGGTATAACTTGCATGTGCAAGTTTTACTAATTCTCTCTCTGACTCGATATGTTACCTGACCCAAACTTTGTTGCCTCAAATTCGTAGAGAAGACTCAAGACAGGTTATATAATACATACCTAATGTATAGAGAAGTAATGAATCATATACATACGAGAACTTAGATCACTGAAAGGTACAACAAAGGTGTAAGCACAAGAAAAGAATCAAGTCTAGTAGTGAGCAATTAGGACAGGCAACTTCAAAGTGCAGGCTCTTTTGCATGATCAATCATAAACGAGTCAATGATACATCTAGTATTTAAGTGGAACCAATCGATCATCGAGGAAGTACTGACTATTTTCAGGAGCTCACTATGGACAAATAACAAATTTTCCATTACCTATGGTTGTTCATCCAACTATGGGAGTAACACACATATTCTCACCTACCATCATGCTCCAATCCATGGACAGCTCAAACATATTTGTTGCATTGTTAATTGAGCCTGAAGCCATAGGGTCATTTTCAGTTCATCAGTGGGGATGCTCAACAGCTTGTATAGTTTGGCCCACTTCCAATATAGGCCCAGAGTAATTATATGAGTGACTTAATGCGCTGTCTGACTTGCACAAGAGGTACATAAAGTAAAGGAAATTAGAGGAGGCAATCCATTTTTGTGCCATTGAGAAGCTGTGCATCGTCATAATATAAGGGCTCAGGATATATTATCGGCCACTGCTCTGAGTTTGATTTTTGAGATATCTGCCAGTTAGTTTGTTCCTGCGTCTTCCATAGCCTTCCACATTTTCCTGCTGCAGTGCAGTGATGTGAGAAACTCTTACGTTAAATATGCTGTTAGAACCTTTGTCTAAGCACACAAGGATATCACAAACTAAAACAGTTACACTAGCCCCAAAGCATTATTAATCTCTCATTCCAGCCCTGTAATATCAACATAAGCTATTTTGACCTAATATTAGCTCCTTGCGCCACCAAATACTGTTTGTTTCAACATTGGCTAGGGACAAGTAATTCCAAATTATGTTGTTTTAGTTATTGTAGCACAATCAGTTTCTGAACTCTGTCGCTGCGGGTGTTTAGAACTTTGGAAAACACTCCTCGTTTTTTACTGCTCTGTTGAACACTACCTGCAAACAGTATCATTAGCACAGTTCTTCGGGAAAGGCTGCAATCATATTCATTTCTCTTCCTTACCTTTATTCTGAAAAGTGACACTGTAATGATCTGACGCCTCCTGCAGTCCTGCATCCACAGAAGCAATGGCTTCGGTACCCTACTAGACATCCACAGTTCTGAAGTTGTTCCCCACTCTAGGTTGGGTCATTTCGTCCATTCAGCTCAGCCTTAAACCAAGACAAGATGGCAAGCATATGCCACATAGGCAAAATGGGATTAATGAAACGAAATGATTATATAGCTAAAAATACTTCGACCCCAACTATAGCTGCTCACCAAAACTGTACATGAGTACGTGACATTGTCATGATGAAATCCTCAGTCGGAATCATTTTTAGGCATTACACCTTGTCACACCAGACTCCAAATCGAAGCATAGCAGGAGAGTTGCTATATATTACCTCTCCACTAGACTAAATAACTGATCTTGAAAGCATAAATACCACTATATCTACTGGAAACATTCAAGCCTAAGTCCAAATGACTTCAATATGGTGCGGTGCCTCAATCAAGCTACAGAGCATAGCCTTGACCCATCTCACCTCAAGAAAATGAATCATTTCTTTGCCTTACCCCAACACTAACCTGGACTTGGTGTCACCTGTGGGACCCAATCACCATGGAGTTATTGCAGTTTTAAATTCATGGGCCATAGCAAACTGGACCTCAGTGTTAAACTGACCCTCAAATGAAGACATTTGTTTGTTACTGTATTTTTACGTTCAGTAGATCAATGAGGAAATGTATTGTACCTCGTAAACAAAACTGAAGCAACCCAACACAAGCGCATTTATGTCACGATAAGGCATGGAAAATTCAGAGCTCATACCTCCTGTCATGCTAATGATTTATTGCAGTGGCAGTGTAGCTTGTCGTCTTCTCATCCTGCTCTATTTATCCTTCAGCCCCTCTGGACTCAGCTGTCAGTTCGACTTAAGAAAAATAACACACCACACTGCTTTTATGGGGCGATCACCATGCTGTGAGAAGATTGGACTGAAGAAAGGTCCATGGACGCCGGAGGAGGATCAGAAGCTGCTTGCCTTCATTGAGGAGCACGGACATGGGAGTTGGCGAGCATTGCCTGCGAAGGCAGGTGAGTATGGACAAACCTGAATTCTACCATCTTCCAAATGAACAAAGTTTGTGAGATCTCAACCAACATCCTGCAGGCTTGCAGAGGTGTGGGAAGAGCTGCAGATTGAGGTGGACAAACTACCTGAGGCCGGACATCAAGAGGGGCAAGTTCAGCTTGCAAGAAGAGCAGACCATCATCCAGCTTCATGCTCTTTTAGGCAACAGGTGAGTACCAGTGAAATTAGTCAACTCCAGATCGTTACAGTAGTGATATCCTCTGAAGTGCTCAGAGCTGATCCTTTGGCTTATGTATCTTATCTGGCATCTTTCTGCAAAGGCGAAGTGCACCGTCTGTTCCTGTCAGACTGCTGCCTGCCATTTAGTGACAATTCACAAAGCATATACGTGAGCTTCTGTCACACCTGAAAGCAAAGAGAAGGATTGCCAGTGTATTTATACTGAATTAGAAAGGATTTTCTAGTGCATTTTCTGTATGCAGGCATCTAAGTGCATCAATCTATCCTGCTGCATGTACCGAGTTATGGTATGGTGTTTGTACTTTTTAATTTGCCATCTCATCTCCCCTTCCCTCAGAACATAGAATTTCGGCATACATGGTAGATGAAAACAAGATGTTAATTTTAAATCATAGGTTTGTTCATGGCACTGTTCAGGTGGTCGGCCATTGCAACGCATCTACCAAATCGCACAGACAATGAGATCAAGAACTACTGGAACACACACCTCAAGAAAAGGCTGGCCAAGATGGGGATCGATCCTGTCACCCACAAATCTATCAGTGGCACTCTCACTGGCACCACAAACAACAAATCAGCCAAGGCCGTGGCAAGCCTCAGCCACATGGCACAATGGGAGAGTGCCCGCCTTGAGGCTGAGGCACGGCTGGCTCGAGAATCGAAGATTCGAACAGCAACGCCAACACCAACTGCACTACATGCGCAGCCAACGAATGTACCTGCCTCTGCTGCTTCTCCATGCCTTAACGTGCTGCATGCATGGCAGGGTGCAAAGATAGACCTGGAGTCACCTACCTCCACACTGACGTTTACAGGGAGCAATAGTGGCATGCTGCCAACCCCCAGGACCAACAGACTAGAGGTATCAGAAAGCAACTCTGTGATGTGGCATCAGAGGAGTGATGAGTTGGAGGGTGAAGAAAACGATTGGCAGATCTTCAGCAAGCACCAAGTGCTGGAACTGGACAGCAAGGAGAGGGAAGATGACTTCATTGGCTGTGAGGAACCGTGGTTCTCAGGGATGGCTGGGGTTGGATCTGGCTTCACTGGCATGCTGTTTGATGTATCCAATGAGCATGACGCATCAGAATGCTGGGGTGAGTCCAACAATGGCCAAACTGAGCACAGCAATCAAGCATCAGATGAGGAGGATAAGAATTATTGGAATGGTGTCCTTGACATGGTAAACTCAGAGCTGACACCCCAGTCACCTCCATTGGTCTAGAATACAGTCCCCTCCAGTTTTTTCAAGGACTTCTGAGCAAAATCTATTGGATCATCTTAAGTCAAAAGAGAAACAGAACGAGCACTACAAATAAATGCTACAACTGCTACAGCAGTATGTATTTTTTTGTCCATGCATGTGAAAGTGAAACAATTAGCTGTTGTGAGGATGTAGTAATAATTTTTTTTCTCTCAGTTTCTTTTCTGTTGGCCTAGCGCTAGAAATAACTGTATGTTAAGCCACCAGGACCACAGCAGGAGCACTACATTAATGATCCAAGGACTTTACAGTTGTTAGTTCAACGCTCAAGTTGTCTTGTCTCCCTCTCTTTGGAATCCAACCCAGAATGATTAAGCAGCACTATTCCGATCAAGTAAGAATATCACAAATTCAAAACTGAAATTTACATGTGCAAATAAGTCCATTTTGGTATTTATGTTCCTTCATTCGAATAAAGAAAAGAAAATTGCAAAACCCACCCCATATGTCACTTAGATTTGATATTCAACCCATAAGGTGTTTTGTTGCAAATGCCCACCCCTTAGTTGGCTCTATTGCAAAAAACACCCCACCGAGCATGTGCTCCACCGATTCCACCCATTCTCTCAAGTCTGGAGCCACTACAGGCCATGCTAGACGAGCAATACTTGTTCCGATGCTTGTATGTTTATTCATCATGTTGCGGTGAAGAAATATTGTAGATAGCAAAAACGAGTGTGACCAAGCTTAAGTGTTTTTTTTTCTCAAATATACAGGACACGGGAGCATGTTTAAGCTTTTCATCAGTGATTGTTTTGCTGCAAGCTCTAAAAAAATGTTGGATTCTTTTAGAGTATCTAACTTTAATAATGAATACACCAATTGCTCTAGGATGGCAAAAATGGGTGAAATCAGTTCAGTGCATATACGGTGGGGTGGTTTTTAGCAACAAAAGGTGTTATGGGGTGGAATCTCAAAACCAAAGTGACACATGGATTGATTTTGCAATTTTTCCATAAAGAAATTTATAAAGTGACTCAACAGCAGATACAAAACATATCCTCCATTTAGAATGTCAACAAAGATGTAGATAGTGTCCACTAGACTGTCGAGAAAATTTAAAAATATTATGATCTTTAGTTACTACAAACCAGTCCAGGTTACCAGAAGCATGTCAGGGAAAAAACAGATAAAGGTAAACATTATTCGAGAGAACAGGTATATTTTACCAGAAAACTAGTGACCAAACAATTATATGACACAGAAGTACCGCGGTTACCGGGGCACGAAAAAAAGATACTGGAACTGTTTCATGAGAGACTGGGAAGAAACATTGTGGTATATTCAGTATTGACACTGTCGATTTATTATGGGGTCGTGTAAAATTCAAAACATGTGGACGCACCAACTGGACAGGAAGGCAAAAGACAAAACACTGACCTCTCAACGAAGGAAGAAAGGACAACCATGACCCAATGAAATAACTATGATTGCATTATTGAGACCATAGTACAGGTTCTTCCCTCTGCACATGGCCTTTCAAAACAGATCAACCTCTTGTGCCAGTGGAAGACACTACCACTTTCTTTGACAGCTTGTTGCATCTGAAAAGACAACTTTGGTAGCCATCGTAATTCTGCAAAACTGCCTTTTATCTCAGGAACCATTATGTTTAGAATTCCACATTCCAGATTTCAAGCAGTGTTTTTAATTGGGATAATTTATCTTACCTTTGTTTCAAAGAAATTACCATCTGTACTTCTAAGTTTGTAAACTGGTCATCTGTAATTTTGAAGCAAGTGAAAATATACTAATGTAGCCACAATGAAATCACAAATTACATAAGACATGAAACTCAGTACAGTGCAGGTCTTCTATGATCAATCAGACACTCCGCATGCCTATTGCTTTGTAAACGTGAGCAACTTTATAGAAGCACACAGATTAATTAGCAATAGTATCAAATGTGTTTAAGTGGCAATTTGCATGAATTTGGAAGTACATGTCCTACAGTGTTGAAACAGAAGGGCAGGATTATACGAACATATATAAGTATGCTAAGAAAAATTCAAATTATAAAAGTAGGTTCCTTTAATAATCATCATGCAATCTACTTTTTCAAAGGAAATACACTTGGCTGAAAGATAAATTGTCAGCTAATAGTCCATGCAAAATAGAAGACATAAGCAAACAAACAAATAGCTAACAAAAACTCTAAGAGAAAGGTGAATAAGATGAGAAATGACAAAAGACACCTAACACATGAATACCACTGTGCACACAACCATATTAGATGTTGGTACAATTCTACCAAAATATGTTGAGTGCACCAGGAGGAATTAAAATTACATTACAAAATAGACATTGGTGCACCAAAATTAGCTGCCATAACCACTGTATTTTATATTAGAAAAAACTGTTACCAAACTTTGAGTATAGACTAAGACACTTTTAGTGGAACCACCTGCTACCCATCGTTGATGGTATAATCAGTAATAGACACTACTCACGAGAAATCCATGATACTCAACAGTCCTAACTCCTACCCATAACTGCTTGCATATGTGACAAGTTCACATGATTAAAACTTTGTTTTTTCCCTTTCTCAGGAATTCAAGGTGGAAAATCACCATTGCTAATGTGAAAAAACATCAGCTATGAACTATTGGATTTGGTGCTAAAGAGCCAGCAAAAACTACTTAATAGAAAACTAATAAGGGTACAACCTGGTGATACAAGCAGTGCTGCTACGGAAACCATACATACATCACCCTGCCAGATTAGATACATAAGAGTCCTAGCAGGTTAGATTTGTTTAGAAAGTCCAGATATTGTCACTCCAGTAAAAAACAATGTTGCATTTGACTTTACAGGGTCTTCAATGCATATCTTTGACACTAATTTCTTTTAGAATATATTCTTAAAATTCTTCAATCTTATGAGATTTTGCAGATATTTTTCAATACAATGCTACAAATTTAACTTACATATTATAAACTAAATAATTTAAAAGTTTTTTATGTTTGTAGTTTTTACGGTTTGACTAAATCTTATCATAAACATGTTTATATGACCGGAGGGAGTATTATATTATTGGTATGTCATCTCTTGCTATCTTTAGGGCTAATTTGGAAGCAAGGGAAGCCACACCCAGGGATGGAAAAACCCTCCATGATGAACTAAATAATTATTCAAATTATTTCCCCATGGATTTCCCACCCTGGGAAAAGTCAGGGATCCCAAGGGGATTTGAGTTTCCAAATTAGCCCTTAGGAAGTCTAGGGTTCCTAGACTCCTAGTCAGTTTGTTAGTCCATGATGTGTTAGCCAGCTGGTGCCTAAAAATTATTAAGGCATTCCGAGGGTTCATGCACAGGAATCAATCTAGTAAAGGGCTTTCGGCTTTGCCCACCAAACTTTGGCTAAGATCAAAGCATCTTCTCAATAGGACATGGCTAGATCTATGCCAAGACAATGGCACACAGCTGCCAAGTTTATTGGCAAATTTGTGCAGGAGATGCTTTAGTACAGTAATTATGCAGGATGACGTGTATCACATAAACTAAAAGGATAGCTACCATATTGTAGCTATGAGCATATGACACTATTAAAAGCTTCCTATTTTGTACATAACAAACTTAATTGAATACAAAATTTGACACTAGATTTGGTGGGAAAGAAGAGATAAAGTTTAAATATATACATGGCGTGGAGATGAGAGTTAGAAAGTAACGCACGCACATATCTTGGCTCATGGAGTTTTAGATTAAGATGAACGGAGGCCAGTTAATTCAAAATTCATGCTCGAAATAAAAACAGATATAATGGAGACATATATAAAAGGGCATATAAAAAGTAACTTGAAGAGATAGAGAGCCATATGTAGAGGCTGAAACACATAATATGATTGAGCTAAAGTTGTCAAACAAAAACCAAATTCATACATATGTAGCATAGATAGGGATAAAAGAGTTCTGAATTTAAGACAGACAGCAGATCAAATACAACTTTAAGTAAAGAAGTACAAATGCAGCTAAATCAAATCATATAGTTTGTGAATAAGCATCTCCTTGTTACACAAATGCAGCAAAATATGTATTTATGAATAAGAAAACCAGATCTTGGCAGGGCAGATGACCTGACAAGATCATTATCCGTTTCTAGCCATGAACCTATACATCTAGTGACAAAGACAGAAAAACTCATAAGGAAAACAATGGCATACAGCTATTCCAATCTCTGCATCTGATTCATGCTAAGTTCTGATTACTTCATGCTTCATGGACCCGACTACACTAAAAGGTAGCAACCAAGCGTGATTTTTCAGGATATTCACATCCAGGGAGGCAGAAAAGTAATTCATTTATTTGATTTTGTTATATGATGTTCAGACATACTGGAACTCTTGGTCCATTATGTTTGCTGCACATGCTACAGTATGTGCCTTTTTGCATTACTATTCTAGAAACTCTATGACAAGTGGCAGAAACACCCCCACAGAGTAATATTTCTAGATCCACTTGTGATTATCATCATGGAACCAAATATCATCATACTCCCTCCGTCCACAAAAGAATACAATTCTAGCACGGCACCAAATTAAAGTATCTTGAGTTTGTCTAACTACATATAAAAAAGTATCAATATTTATGATATTAAATAAGTATCATTAGATCTGTCATGAGATATATTTTCATAGTATACCTATTTTATGTCATAAATATTAATATTTTTATCTATATATTTGGTCAAACTTTAGATACTTCAACAAAGAATGCGCCTAGAGTTGCATTCTTTTTGGGACGGAGGTAGTAAAACTTCATGAGTCAGAATCTACATTCAGTAGTCATACAGTTTTCATTTGTTCTCCCTAACAAACTTACTGATCCAAAGATTTTTTTTTATAACCACCATTTATCAACTAATGGACTTCAATAGGACCACCTTTTTATGAAAGATATAGCAAATAAGAACAGTACAATACTAATTCAATAAGCTGAGGTAAAAGTTTTTAAATCTTAA